TTACAAAGCATTAGAAAATAAAGCCTGAAGAAATTCAAGCAAGCCAAGCTCTTAAAAAATGTAAAAAATATAGTTTTGACCATATAAAAGAAACTAAAAGTTGTAGAAAATGAAGTAATAGAGAAGAAATTCAGGACTTCTTGTCAAGGTTTATTAAAAAAGAAGAAAAGCCAACACTCAATATAGACTAAAAAATTATAAGTAGTTTGCAGAAAGAGAGCAGAAGCAAAGTAAATAAATTCAAAACTTAACTTAAAGATGTAATATGCTACAATCTAGATATAAAGTTAATTAAAAAACAGTAGTTAAGTATAAAACTAAAAGAATTGCTTATTTTCAAGAATTAGAAAAATCAATTAAATTTAGAAAAAGAACTTATTTTCTATACTGATAGTTTATACAAAAAGTTAACAACAAGAAATGCTTTAAATATTGATTATATAAGAGCTGGCTAGATACAAGTAAACATAGAAGAGATAAATGTAATAGATTAAAGTACTATAGGTACTCAAAATTGGCTCTTATTAACAAAATTAGAGCTACTAGCTATTTGGTTAGTAATTTTAATAATACCAAAAAAAAAAGATAAGATTTATACAGATAGCATAGTAGTAATATCAGGTCTTAACAGAAAAAAAAAACTAAAAAGAAGTAAACAATAGATTAAAAAAAAAATTACAATTTGAAAAGAAGTATAATAGAAATACTTGAGTTAAAAAAATAGAGTTAGAGTTAGTTAAAATAAAAGAACATAGTAACGATAAATAAAAACACTAGAGTAAATAAATTAGCAAAAGAGAAAGTTAGTATAGATAGTATAAATAAAATTAGACATACTACTACCAAGTTCAAACATATTATTCTGCTAAGAAAAAACATTCATTAAAGAGTTAACAAGATATTTTATCAAAAATATTTTTAATTTTAAAGTTAGTTCAAAATAAAAATTTATATCAACTATTTAAAAACTAAAGTCAAATAAGAATAAAGAAGAGCATAATTGGTCAATACTTTGAAGAAAATTGAGAAGCCAAAGTGAAGTCAGATATACAAGCATGAAAAAAATAAAGAAATTGCAACACTAATTAAATATGTTAATAAAAAACTACTAGTATTAAAAACTTTGACAAAATATAACTAGATTTATACAAAAAACCTTATACATCTATGTAATAAAGACAAGAAAGAGAAAAAAACACTTAGCTTCATGCAAAGATCATGAAAAAAGTTAGGACATTATGAAAAATTTAGCTATTAATTTGGCCTAAACAGTACTTTTAGACAAAATTTGTAAGAAAACAAGCAAATTTGAATCAACCAAACTCTTATAAAGAGATCCAATAGAAAAAAAAATAAAATATAGATCCAAAAGTATAAAGAAGCTAATATAAGAAAAGGCAAAAATAACATTAAAAGCCTTATTCAAACTTTTAAAAAAGCAAAAGAATTTTTTACTATATGGACAAATGCAGCATGAAAGTTTTTTTAAAACATTAAAAAAAATATTGTAAAGAAGTAACTAATTAAAATAAAACAAACAGAGTTAGCTCAACAAATAAGAAACAAAAAGAAATCACATCAAAAAATGTAACTGTTAGCAGACTAATATATAAAATAAAGAAAGAAGATAGATTAAAAAATCAAAGTTAAACTATAAAAAAGAAGAAAATACAAAGTTTATAGTTAGATTCAGTTGTTAGTTTTATAGAAAAAAAATTAGACTATTTTTTTATAGTTCTAATGGCTAGCTTGATATAGCCTTTTGGTTAGATTAATTTTTAGCTAGTATGGCAAACCACTTCTAGGCATTCATATAATTAGCTAAAGGATTTCAAATCAGAATTTAAGTCAACTTTATATATAAAATATATATAAGAATCTTAATAAAGGTAATTGGCAAGACTGCCAAAGTTATAAAAAACAAAAAACATAAAGATGTCTAGTTAGTCTTAACCCAAAACAATATATAGCTTAAACTTTTAATTATATTATAGTTACAAATTATACTAATAATGCAAACTCTTAAACAACTTTATATAATTTAAATAATTCTTAACTTTTTACTCAATCTATTACTATTATTTATACCAATATAGAAAATATTCAATACCTCTACTATACTATCTAACATCTATTTACAATTAATATAATAACAATAGACATTTTTTAATTAAATATTAACTAAATATATTAATAACTCTAATTATACAAATACATAGCAGCATCTAACTATCACAACATATATCATACAAGACTATAATACTAGTATTAAAAGACAACTTTAATTTGACTATTGTATTAGCTAACAGTTTAATATTATTCTATTTACTGAAACAAAACTTATATATTTCTAATATGTATATTTTATTCTTTATAATGCTAATTACAAATATTTTATATTTAACAATAATACAAAAAGGGTGTAACAACTAGTAAAGTGGATAAGTTGTTATATTTTCAAGTGTAAATTGTGAGTTCAAAACCTACTGACAGCAAAATTTGAATAATTATCTATGTAATATATAGATAGTATTAAGGTAATAGCATTCTGTTGATCAGTTGGAATAGAATACCTATAACTATAGTCGCACCAGCATGACTGGCAGGTCTGAGGCATCTGTATAACCTGTTACATAGAGGAATGCAAACTAGTACCAGGTGGTGCAAACCTAAAATAAGTCCTTAGGTCATGTAAATTCTTAGAATTGGGAAGCAGAGCCCACTTGGAAATTCTGAGCAGAGATGTAACACAGATCTTTAACAATACTACTGTAAAGGCTAGATCTAGAAAATGGATACCAATGTAAAGAATTTGGGCAAACAAGAACCTTAGTTAAGAGGTACTACCAACCAGGCTGCCAGATTTTGGACTGAAGGAAAAGGATATTGGGCTAGCCTCAATTTATCAAGAACAGGTTATAGTTCTTCTAGGCTATCTGGATTGGAAGTCTGGATTCAAAGCAGAAGTATACTACAAGTACTAGGGATATGCTGTGAAGTCATCACAGAGCAAGACAACCAAGACATTTGATGTAAGTTTTGATTTTAAAGATCTTTATATATAAATTATATAATTTATTAATTTATAGTTTTAATAATTTTAATATTTGTGTTAATTTCACTTATTATGATTAGACAAGACAATTTACAAATTTGAAATCGTATTATTAAATGGAGAATTTTCAAAATCTGATTTATCATCTAATTGGTTATAAAGATTACAATTTTTTCTGTGTCTATTATTTTCAAAAATTTGAAATATTAGTTAATATTATTATAATCATATTCAAAACAGTATAATAAGAATACTTATTGTTATCATTAGCGATTCTAGCTAATTTGATTTATTGGTTAGGCTAAGCTAATTAATTTTTACTAGCTTAATAGTTTTCTAATTAGGCTATTATGTTCTGGGCTTATTATTATATTATGTTGTTTTTAACTAGATTGGTAAGTGATAATTAATTGAAGAATACCAGAATTAACTAGACGAAATCACATTATAAAATTTTTGCCAAAATAGGTCTAATTTCTTGTACAAAATGCAAGATATGAATCTAGTTTTTTAAATACATCTAGCAAATATTTGTCCTTGTATAAAGCAGGGTTATACTAGTAACCAATTAAAATTTTTTTAAATAGATTATTTGTAACTAAATTTTAAATCAAAATTTTAAGCATAAAACTTTTGTAAAAATGCCCGATCCAATATAGATTTATTTTATTCAATTAGGACATGTAACTGGATTCAAACAAAAAAGAAGAAAATGTAAATATTGCTATTAGCAGGTTAATGATTCTCTTAGAAATGCATGTACATATTTTTGAAATTGTGAACTAGTTTCATTTGAGCAAAAAAAAATTATTTTGGTGATTTATATGAAGAAGATAGTAATACATTTATGAATATATCTGATATGTTGGCTCCAGCTGAATCAACATCAATGTCTACTTTAGTTATATCAATCTTATCTTTATTTTCTTTATTAGTTGTAGCAACTTTATCTAATAAAAAAATATCTACTATAAATACAAGCAGAAGCTGAATTACAAATTATGTTACAGTTAATTGTATTTCTAAAGTAGAACAAAAATTGCTTGAGTTAGAATTTGCATGATCAATATTTCAATGTGGTTTATTTTTATCTTTACCTGAAATGGAGCTGATTAAAAAATTGTAGAAACAAGCATGGCCAGCATTCCAGTTGCCTAGTTGAAAAAAACTTTTAACAATCTTGTTAGATAAGATCTATGATGAAACTAAAAAAGATGTTGAGGTTTTAATTAATAATAATAAAAATCTGTGTCTTGTATTAGATAGTTGGTCTAATTTAGTACAAGAACATTAAACTAACTATATTTTAACAACACCAAAACCAGTATTTTATGCAGTCCATCTAACTAATGAAGTACATCAGAATAGTAAAACAATCGCTTATGATTTAGAAAAAATAATAATTGAAGTAGGTATATCAAAGATTTCAGCTATTATTATGGATAATTTCTCTGTAATGAAAAAGGTGTGGCATCTATTAGAGGTAGATTATCCTGAAATTTTGTTTTTAGGTTATATTGTGCATAGTTTAAATCTTTTAGTTAATGATATAATAAAATTATCATGGAGTGTGAATATATTCAAAAAAGCAAAAATGATTATTATATATTTTCAAAGGCATCAAATTCTAAAGGCTATATTAAAGCAACACCAATTAGCTTCATACAATCAATGAATATCTCTTAAGTATTCTGTTAAAACATAGTGATCTTCAGCAACATGTCTTAACTTACTTGTTAAAATCAGCTTGCATTTAAGTTAACTATAACTAAATTGGCTTATGACAATCATATTGTATTATCTAATACTATTATTGATACTATAAATAGTGAGAGTTTTTGGAAAAATATTAAATTTTTACTAATTGTGTTAGATAAATTAGTTGCAGGCATTGCTATTTTTGAGTCAAATACATCTAACTTAGCATTATTTTATAATTGGTACCATGAGCAGTTAAAATCTGACAGTAAACAAATATTATATGAATACATATCTATAGCTATTATTTACTTTATTAATAAATTTATCTATTTTGTTTTAGCTTATATTTTTCCTGCTGTAGGTTTTGGAATTAAAACTTTATTAGAAAACTGGTAGAAAAAAATATATCAACTCATAATATTAGTTGCTCATCTATTAGACTCATGATACCATAGAAGAAAACTTTTAGCTAATAGCATATCAACTATTTCAACATTCATTCAAAAGTATTATCCAACTGAAGCAAATATTATTTGGCAGCAATTACTTCAATATAAAACCAAAACTGCATATTTGGTTTGAATTTAGCTTGGAATACAGTAGATGAAGTAAATCTAATTGCTTGGTAGGAGGGAAATTTTAAAGAATCATTATCAGAGTTATGTAAAGTTGCATCTAGAGTTCTTAGTATACCATCATTATCAGCTTCCACTGAGCAAAATTAGTCAAATTTTTCCTATATTCATGATAAAAAAAGAAATTAGTTAACACCCCAACAAGTATTAAAGCTAGTATATGTATATAGCAATTATAAACTTACATACCTGAAGTTAGAATCATTAGATATAACAGAGGCAGTGATACGTTTTATAGACCTGGTGATAAAAATAATAATTTTGAATTATTGGACTCTAGTAGTGATGAAGATGAAAGTAGTGAAGGTGAATTGATAGAAAGTGATACTGAAAATAAGATTGTAGAATCATCTGAATCAGAAATAGAATCAGTAACTGAAAGTGATATGGATAGCAAAGATGAATAAATAAACACTGCAAAACTGAAAACACTAACAGAAGAAAATAAATATAAAGTATTCATAGCTAAAATTGACTATGAAATTGAAGCTGAAAATAAACCTAACCAAAATATAAGATATTCGCTATTTAATTCATTAAAATAGTAAAACATAAAGCATTTATTATCAAGCCTAATAAAACAGAGAATGTGAAAATAATATTGGAATCAAAATTGTTATGATTGGTGTTAAGAAAATTAAATGTAAGGTTTTATCTGTAAAGGTGAAAATATTATTAAAATTAACATTAGGATTAAATTATGCATAAGGTATTTACTATTAAGCTAAGAGAGCTAGGAGTTGCCAGCATAGAATTAAAGTTAAAAAGGTATATAAATATTCATTAGTTGGCATTTATTAATCTGTTGAAATGGAAAATATTAGCAGAATTAAGTAAAATGGAATGCTAGAATCAAGAAAAAAATTAACATTGGAATTAGGATTTAAAAGATGAATATAAAGCTAAGTTTGAGTTGAAAGTGATAAGTATAAAATATTCTAAATAGAAGTGCTAGTAAAATTAGTTCAAAAGATGAATATAAAGCATTAATTAATATTCAAAACCTATTATATTGTTTGATAAAGATATGTAGTCAATAAAAACTTTACACCTGTTATATGTGAACTTTATTAAAGTTTCTATTAATATAAAATTAATGAATTTTGATGTATGTATATTATTTTACAAATTGCTAAAGCTACAGTTTGTTACTTTTTATTAAATAACATTACTTTAGAAACATCAAAAATTAATTATATATAAAATGCATAATTTAAATATTAATTATATAAATTCATTGATTCTTATAGACATAAATAAATTTATTATCAATTATTAGGAGCCAGACTATCAAAAATTTTCTTAACTATTAATCACTTAGCGAGCACTACTACTATACTGTTAATAATTTGTTTAGAATGATAGTTAATTTTATGCGATTAAATGGTTTGAATAAAATAAAAGTTCAAGAATAGGAATACCTAAAGTCAGATACAATCATAAAATTTTAATTATTTGTTTAATTAACATAGTGATAGGATTAGTGTTTGATTAGAATTAGATTTGGTTCTTGCATTCTCATATTTTTTTCATTAGGTAAATAAAAAACTATATCTTATTCTTATCCTTTTCTGAAATATAGATTCTTAACTATGCTGTATATAACATGCATGCATGCATGCTTGTGTGCAGCATATCATACGCATGCATTATACAAAAAAACACTGTTTTGCCCATCTCTAGTAATGATATTGTATTCATGATTTTGCAAACACACTTAAGAAATTTGTGCTAGATTTTGTCAATCATTGCTTTGATCTACAAATTAGATCTCAGGAATCAGGTATAACATAACATGATCAGGAATTTTAAAACAAATGTTCATTTTGTTAAAAATCATCTATTTCTCAAAATCTAGTATAAAAAACTACTTTTAGTGCTATAATAAAAAAGTTTCTTTAAGTTATTTTACTATATAACAATTTAACCTCTAACTTTATACTAAGTACTAATTCTAATGTTAATAAATTTTAAAAATTTTTACTATATTACAGTGATTAACAAAACCTAGCACAGATTTTTTGAGTGCTTTGCAAACTACATTCATGCAGAATTTTATAGTAATAATATTTTATAAGACCAATATAATAATAAAAATACAAAATCTTATATTGCAGATCTAGGATTATCTTCAAAAGACATGATTTATAGAGTAATGTCTGAAGTTTGCCTTTTTATCTTTTAATGTAGATATTAGGGCTGTGTTGTAAATCAATAGCAAAAAATAATATTTATATTTATGCTTTGCCAAATAAAAACAAAAAACTCAAGCCTTTATTTGATATCAGACAAATCTGATTCAATTATATTTAAGTTTTATTAAAAGCATTACCAGGAACAGAGTAATAAAATTATGAAGTATATGGCTTATATGGTGTTTTAAATGGGTATGTTGTGAATCTTAAGTTTGATTGGTTTGCATAAGTGTACTAATTTTAATCAATAGAGGTTACCATATTACAGTTATAGCATTACAGTTATAGCATTACAGTTATAGCATTACAGTTACAATATTATAGCATTATGGCATATAATATTTGTGACAATCAGATACTGTAGTAGAATTAATTCTATCATATAATAGAATACTGTAATGCCATAATTTAGTAATTCTACTGCCAACTATAATTATGAAGAACCTTTATGATTAGATTAGTAGATTTGAATCTGCTGTAGTATGCCTAAAAAAAAAAGAATCATAAATATTAGAATATTAATAAAATAAAAAAACT